GGGCGCGGGCTGCTTTCGGGCTCCTTCCTGCGGCGAAGCCTTGGCCGTCGCGCCGTCCGACTAACCCCCGTCTGCCTTCTCTGCACCTTCCTCTCCTGCCTCTCCAGATTTCTCTTCTTTAACTTCCTGCATTAACCCTGGGCCGCGGCTCCGCGCCGGGCCCCCGCGCTCACGCCCGCCCCTGTCTTGTGCTCTGTCCTGCCCTGCTCCCCCGCCCGCGCAGCGGCGCCGAGACGTCCATCTGAGGAGCGGCCCGCCGGGAAGCGGCCCGGGGCGCCCGGTGCCAACGCCCCGCCCCCCCTCTGCACTTTGGACCCCTGGGCCGACACCTCCGAGACAAGGCTTTTCAGAAAAGAGGAAGGAAGGGATTTTAAAAAGGACCTCCGCTCTCCATGACTTCAGGGATTCATTTTTTATGCGCGGAAATTGACTCCCCTTTCCCTCCCCAAGGAGGATAGGACCCCCGGGACGCGCCCAGCCTCTCCTCGGTCTCCCATCTGCTGTGCCTCTGGGAGGAGGGGACTCTCGGGGCCGGCCCCGGCGCGCCGTCGCCAGAAGGAAAGGACAAAGCCACACGCGCCCGGGCGTCCAACCCTGCGGGCCGCCGGGCAGGCCTCGAGGGCGAGGGGTCAGGCTGGGTGGCCCCTCCCTCCCTGGGGCCTCGCCCCCGTCCGGCGAGGGGCCGCAGGACTCGCGCCCGACTCCCAAATGCTGCATGAACACGTTCTGAGGGGAGCCCGCGCCCCCAGGCGGTCCGCCCCAGCCCCTCCCCTTGCCTGGACTCAGCCTCGGGCTGCAGCCCCGGCGCTTGCTCAGTTTGCTGACCCAAAAGTGCTTCGTTCTGCGCGCCCGGCCGGGCGGCCAGTCATGCGTCCAGTTGCGCTTCTTTGCCGGGGTGCGGGTGGGAGCCGAGGGAGCCGTGGTGCCTCGGCCGCCCCGCGGGGCCTCGAGCTGGGTTCTGGTGTCCACTCGCCCCCTCCCCACCAGACAAACGCCACTTTGTCTGACCTGCTGTGGCCTCGGAGACATGTTCTATTTTTAACCCCTTCCTGGAATTGGCTCTCTTCTTCACAGGACCAGGCCCTGTCTGTCTTTCTCCCCCCGCTCCACCCCAGCTCCCTGCGAAGAGAGAGTTAATATATATTTTTTAATTTATTTGCTTTTTGTGTCGGGATGGGCTCGCGTCCAGTCCCGGGGGGCGGGGGTCTGAGGCGGCCATCGCAGGTCGGGTGTGTCCCAGCAGCTCTGGCTCGGGGCATGCCTTCCCCTTGCTCTAGGCTGTCACCTCCCCACCTCTCCTCCCTCCCTCCTCGGTTTTGCCAACTGCTGTTCATCTGAGTCACCATTTATTCTAAGCATGTATTCCAGACTTGTCACTGACTTTCCTTTTGGAGCTGGTGGCTAGAAAAAGGCATAGGCAGGAACAAAACAAAAACACTCCTGTTTCTCCCGTGTGAGGCTGGCCTCTGGCTTTTCTGCCATGGATTCGCCCCTGCCCTTTCCCCTCCGCAATTCCTGCCAAGGGTTAAAAATTTAACTGGTTTTTACTACTGATGACTTGACTAAAAATACAAAGATGCTGGATGCTAACTTGATACTAACCATCCGATTGTACAGCCCGATTGTTACTGTAAATATGGTAGTTTCGTTGTGTTTTTTCATTCCCCATACTACTGAGTAAACGAGTTCTGTGTGGGTACAGGGTGGTCATTGTGTGTTTCTGTGTGGTAACCTGTCCTTCCCCAGGGAGGGAGGCCTGGGCTCTGGACAACAAAAGGGCAGCAGCACCCGCCCCCCCAGGTCCCACCGGTAGGTCGGGGGACTCGGGCACCAGCTGGCTGATAAGCTTGCCCCTCTGCCTGTACCCACAACAAGGTTCCCCGAATAGCACATCAGCACAGAGCCCAGCCATGCTTGATGGTGGGTGGGTGGAAAGCATTCTTCTCGCTGTGACAGAAGGGAGTTTTGTGCCTGGGGAAGCTGCACGGGCAGGCAGGTTTCCAGCCCAGCCTCTTAGGGCTGAGTCCTAGACAGGGACACGTTTTCTGGGGCAGAATTCAAGAGGAAGGAAGTCTGAGTCGAGAGGCTGGTGGGAATTTCAGGGGTGCTCAGTGTCGTGGGACCCCCTAACTCCTCCACTACTCTGGGAGGATTTTTGTTTCTGCTATAAACGAAGCAACTCCTCATACTCCTATTTTTTTTTTAAATAGAGACAAAGTCTTGCAAAGTTGCCCAGGCTGGCTTAAACTCCTGGGCCATCTTCTCGCCTTGGCCTCCCAAAGTGCTGGGATTACAGGCATGAGGCACTGTGCGAAGCCATAACTACTCACACCCCAGCCAAGCATGTGCACTGCAGCCAGCTTTACTCCCAGCCCCAAGTGTTGTTTTCCAAAGGTCCATTCCACAAAGTAGCGAGGGAGGTCACATGGGGTGATACACAGTAATGATTAAGAACCCACCCATCACTTTGGGAGGCCGACGGTGAGGAGATTGCCTGAGCCCACAGGTTCGAGAACAGCTTGGGAAACTTGGCGAGACCTCATCTCTACAATAAATAAATTAGCAGGGCATGGTAGCGCACACCTATAGTTCTGGTACTTGGAAAGCTGAGGTGGAAGGATCGCCTGAGCCTGGCAGGTCAATGCTGGGTTGGCCGTGAGTGTGTGTGCCACTGCACTCCAGCCTGGGCAACGGAGTGAGACTCCAACTCAAAACAAAAAAACAAAACACAAACCCTGGAGGCAGACCGCCACTTAATCTCTCTGAGCTTTGGTTTCTCTGCCTACAAAATGAGAATGATAATAACAGCACGCGCCTCACTGAACTGTTACGAGGATTAAATGGGTTAGCACATGGGAAGTGCTTAGAACAGTTCACGGGGCATGGGAAGAGGCCAATCGGTGGCTCTCCCTGCTGTTGCTACAGGGCGGAGGTGGAAGAAGAATGCACAGAGAGAAAACTAGAAAGCCGGTCCCAAGGGAAGGCGGCAGGCAGGTGGCTGAGCACGCAGGGTGGCTGCGGCAGGTAGGCCTCCTCCCGGGCCGGCACTGCCCACTGAATGTGCAGCTTGAGCTGGTTTGGAGGGGAGGGCGTGGGGCGGGGGCCAAACTCAAGGCCGACCAAGAGGGCGAGCAGAGCAGGCCTTCCCCTCTTCGGCCACCAGGGGGCAGCAGCCCATGGCGCTGCGGCTTGCTCCCTCTCTGAGGACACACCCGGGGCGTGGCCACACAGCCCGAGCCACCCTCTGGCCACACCTAGCTGTGGACTAGGCTTGCTGACCTTCCAGTGCTTCAGCTGGAGTTTCAGTCCCCAGTGGGCCCCCGCTCACTAGACACCGGTGCAGGGCAAAGCCAGAGACACACCTGGGGTTTCCTTGCCTTGCCCACGTTTCTCCAGAGCCAGATCCTGCCGTGGGCCTCCACCCTGGCCCCACATCAATTCTTAGAATCCTGGAGGCTGCAGGAGGCTGGGAAAAGGTGGCTGCCTAGGCAGCTGTCACTGTGAAGCAGGTGAACGTCCAGATAACCTTAAGATCAGTCATAGAAAGGGGAGGGCCATGGAGGGCCCCTGACTGTGGCCGGGGCAAGGGCACTTGTGGCCACAGGGGCAGGGGCACCAGCTGGCAGTCCCACTTCCCTTTGCCCGGTTACCTGCTGCCTTCCTTAAATCATGGCCTGGGCTTCAAGAAGGGAGGCTTCCTCAAAACTCACAAGGAACTGAGTTGGTTCTGGTTACAAGGAAAAAAAAAAACCCAACCCTAAGCCGAATCTGTTAAATGAGTTTTTGTCTTTCATTCAACCAACACTCACCATCTTGCACTCAAATATTTTCTGCGTAAATGAATGAAACGCTCTGCAGGTCACAACTCTAGGGCGCAGCAGAGGTGTGTAAATCCCGGTGCCAAGTCTACTAGGGGAAATAATAGACGACTCTAATAGGTAAGGCAGGGCATGACGAGGTGTCCAGCATCACCTGGCCGTGGCGATCAGGGAAGCTGATCAGGAAGCTTCATCCCTTTCAAGTACAGCAGAGAAGAGGCTGGTGGGTTCCTGGGAGGCTACGTCCTCTTGCCAGAAAAGGACGTTCAAATGTAGGATATAAATAATAATTTGCCTCAGTCCTGGTTTCCCAGCCTCACACAGCGTGAGTCAAGCTGTCCTTAACTTTGATCTGGACCTTCTAATAATATGTGAATCCTGGCAAAAGGCAAGCCTCTCCTCTAATGCCAATTAGCAGGGCAGTTGCAGCCTGATGAACTGGAATCCCAAGGCCCTGGGGCCTACTGAGGCTCCTGCCTGGGAGGCCCACTGGCTTCCTCGCTGGAATGACACATCACTGCAAATCTGTTAGAAACTGGAGCAGGATCTACGTTACGTTCAGAGATACAGAGAATATAAAAATACATTCATTTTATTTTAGAAAAACGAAGACTGCTGGAGTAAGCTTATCACACACTGGCCTATTAGGAGTCACAGAATTCACAGGAAACAAGTTGTGGAGCCCAGGTGCCTGCCTTTGACTCTCCAAGCAGGCCCAAGTCCAGCAGAGGATGTGATTCAGGAAGACAGCTCCTCGGAGAGCAGGGAGGTTAGCTACGGGGTCATTCACATGGAAATGTCCAGGGAATGGCGGCCTGGGAAGAAGGTCAAAGTCTCTCCCAGCTGACCACAAGAGCGGGGGTGGGCAAGGACACACCTCTTGCCCGTGTTTCTCGTTTTGTTAATTTCAGAGCAGGAAGGTGACCTCTTTTTCCCTAATCTTCTTTCAACCAGAGAGTTTAAGTCTTCTCCAGCTCAACCCTAATCCACCCCATCTCCCATGGTCTCTCCTCCTGGGGGACCAGCCCTGGCGGCATCTCGTCCTTCTGTCCCTGGGCCGGAATCTGCTGGCATCAGGGCCTGCTGGGCAGAGGTGAGTCCAGGCGGTGACTGTAGTGGTTTGCTACTGAATTCTTGCTTGATGTCCTGATCCCTTTACCTAAAGAGACAAAAGGAGGAATTGCTTTAAACTGTCATTCTTCCGTAAGCCTATTTGTCACTCTGCTGGGCTCAAGCTCTCAGGGTGAGAAGCAATAGGATGCTGCCCTCCCCTGCTCCGGCCGCCTCCTCACCCCCATCTTTCCACACAGGACTCAGGGTTGATGTGCACAACAGCTTGGGAGCACAGAGGATGAGGGCTTGGGAGGACTGGTCTTACCTGGTAGGTCCCGGGACCGCAACTTTCCTGGGGGACTGCAGATTGCTACGAGTGGTACCCACAACAGGAAGATTTGGTCGCTGGGAAGCAGGAACTTAACGGAGGTTGATGAAAGAAATTACTTGGCAGAAAGTTCAAGGGACCGTCTCAAAAACAAACACTGCAGTCTGAGCAACATAGCGAGACCTCATCGCTATAAAGAATCAAAAAATTAGCCAGGCGTGGTGGGGTATGCCTATAGTCCCAGCTACTCAGGAGGCTGAGGCAGGAGGATCACTTGAGCCTAGGAGGTCAAGGCTACAGTGAGCCATGATCTTACCACTGCCATGATACCACTCCAGCCTGGGTGACAAACTCAAAAAAAACCTGGATGAGGGCAGAGTGAGTTTGAGATTCGTGCTGCCATGCCTACCATGTGTATTTGGAAACCCAGGCTCATTCTCTGCCCAACCCCACATCCTAGCCATAACCCGGAAACTGTCATGATGATGGCGAAAGTGGTCCCTGTGCCCTGAGCTCGAGTTGGGCACGGACAGACATTCCTCCTCCTGACTTCCTGCCCTTCCGTCTACTTTTCCTCACCTCTGTGCCCTGCAGCACTTGGTCTGGGAAGCCCTTTCCGAGCTGACACAGAATCTGGCGGTAGGGCACCTCTGCTAGGTGGGACGCTCCGGCTGCTGAATGGCATTCGACTGGCAGGTCGGGGGATGGCTGAGGGGCCGGGTTGCTGACCAGAAGATTGAGCAGCTGCTTCCTGTGGCCGGGGCAGGCGTCGGGAGTTGCTGGTGGAAGGTTGTGAGGCCAGGGCTGGTCTGACGGGGGCAGGTGGGCCTGGAAGCGAGCCGAGGAGTTTCAGGGTCGGTCCCACACACGCCCTCCTCCCACCCACCCGCAGCATGGCCGCCCAGGGCTTCTCACTCGCTGCTGCCCTCCCACTGGGCCCTGCTTTCCCCCGGGCTGGAGGCGTTGATCGAGTGAGAGGAGAGGGCGCTTGGCTTTTGGATGCAGGGAACAGATTGCAAGTGGGTGACTCCTGAAACAGAGAGAGAAAAAAAGGCTACAGTGGAGAAAATATCTGTTCTGCAGCTTAAGGGATTAAGAAATGGAGGTGGGGAGCTGTCCAGATCCCAGTAAGGAAGGGTGGACATTAGCTGCCGGCATCGTCTCACCGCCACTAGTGCCGATACCACTTATTCGCGCTTATTACAGACATGGCAGGGCTTATATACAGGCACTGTGGTAAGGCTTTGCATATGGTTCTCATTTAATTCCAGCAATTCTAGAGGCAGAACCACTATTCCCACTTAACCAATGAAGAAACCGCCTTCTGCCTGTATCACGCCATGCAGTGTCTGGGACACACACCCCACTTGACTCCCTAAACTCACTCTCTTTGTGCTGGCGGGCCGCTTTCCAGACGCCGTCCGAAGAGCCCTGACAGACCCCTTCCGGTCGCTGCTCCGGAGTCGCGGTGTCATGCTGCTCGGGGAGGGGGTGCTCCGAGCCAAAGAGTTCACGGTAGGCAGCAGGTCTCGGACGGGACTGTCCTTCAGCACAAAGGTCTCCCGCCGAGGGCTGGGCTTCACGCGCCGCGACCCCGAGCCCTCACCTGAGCCCTCCCGTTCCTGCAGGGCACACTGCTCCAGCTGGGCTGCCAGCCGGTTGGCCTCGTCCAGGATCTCTTCCAGCTTCTCTGGGCTGAGCGGGCCTAAGCTGAGCCTCAGCCCCTGGAGGGCAGGGGTCACCGTATTTGGGTCACTTCGGTGGGAGAGGCCCCGTCGGGGTGGTTTCTCTGGAGTCACTAGCACTGTTAGGTCTTCCTCCTCACGGCTGAGACAGACAAAACACCAGGCACCATGCCCATACAAAAGAGAACTGGGGACTGTGTGAGGGAGACTGGGCAAAACCCCCACAACAGAGCCAAGGACACGGCCCTAAACCCTGATGCCCGTGCTGGCTGTGTGATCCGGCCTCCCGGTGATGAGATACATGGTTCCATGAGGCCTAACAGGCCTTTAACTTGAACAACAGCAAGAAAGGATGCCAGGATGGAGAGGCCGCAAATCTACTGACCCTTCTTCTTAACACCCCAAAATCTAACTCTGGCTTCTTCCTTCTCTTCCCCCACCAGTAGTGTCACAGAGGTTACCTGGTCACCCAGCAGCCCGAGTGCACCAAACCTTGCTAAATTATCGACCAGGGCCGGGAGGCCAGTAATTCAGCAGTAAGGGGTGAGAGACAGACGTTGTTGGAGGAAAATAAGTGAGATAGAGAGGCTGGTACCTGTCAGATGGTGACAGTCCTCCAAAGTCCAGGGTCTCATCCACAATAAACTTGACATCTGGAGGGGAAAGAAGGATGAATGCCAGCCACAGGTCCGAGGCAGCTCTCAGCTGCTGGGTTTCACTCTCCTCCGGGGATTCCTTACCTTCTTCCAAATCCTCCATGTCCAGCCAGCTGGAGTGAGAGTCTGCTTAGCCCTGAGTTGGAGAGAAGCCATACTTTTCCTCGGCTGTCCATTCAGCCCGTGGCTCGCAGCTAGACTCAGGGTGCAAGTCGGGGGCGGGGATCATGCTGGAGTGGCTCCTGCCCCGGTAACCACG